TGGAGAGAGGGGGGCAGGGCAGAGAGAGAGGGGCGGGGCGGGGCAGAGAGAGAGGGGCGGGGCAGGGCAGAGAGAGGGGGGGCGGAGTGGACTGGAGAGAGTGGGTGGGCTGGAGAGGTACCTGATGCTGCTGGAGGTGCGCGAAGTCCGCGGTGTTGATGACTGTAGTGATGACGTCGCCGGCGTCGCCCTTGAGCCGAGTGTCCCGCACGCCGCCCTCGCCGCCCGGGCCGTTGTGACTGGCAGATCCGTTACTCGAGGCCTCCGTCCCGGACTCTTGCATCATGACTTAAAAACCTGAAAGGGAGCGTGGAGATGGTGAACTGCTCTCCGGACCCCCAAAGACTGCAAACACGCGTCACCCCCTTGCACGCCTTTCCCTCAGATTACGGTCACTGCTGCCGCTTTACTCGTTAGTTTGTCTGCCTTCTCGCCAATCTGTACAGCCTGTACCTCTCATCACCTCCCCACCACCCAGCGGCACAGATACTCTGCAGATGACATGTCCGTACTCGGCCACAGGAAGCAACAGACTTGCGGTAGATGCAGGTCTGGCTTAAGTCATCATTCAGTGAAGTGTGGCGGAGTCGGGGGGCATGGGGGGACAGACTTCAGATACATGATGCTTCTGTTAGAGGCCTGAGAAAAACACCCGGCCCAGCAGAAAATGGACCGAAATGGGTATATTTACTGCAGTGGTTCCCGGGCAACCACAGGACAATGCTTTTTTAATGGGGAGCAGGAGGATGGGAGTCGGCGTCGAAAGCACCAGGCCGAAAATAAGGAGGGGGGGGAGACATCTTTAACCACAGAGAAAATGATCTTGCGTGACAGCGGAGATTCGGCACAGAGCTCAGGATGCCAACCCGCATGCGGGCCTCTGCGGCACCCTCGCCAACGCCCACCGCCCCTCGCCAACGCCCACCGCCCCTCGCCACCGCCCCTCGCCAACGCCCCTCGCCAACGCCCCTGGCTGCATGGACCTTGTTCCTGCTGCCCCCCCGTCCAGGGGCTGGCTAATGAAGCTGACCAAGTCGGCAAGAAGTAAATTAACTATGATTAATTATTTATATAAAGCAGAATAAATGCCCTTAAAACTCTGAGCCTAATCATGAAAGGAGGTAAAAATTAAACTAAATGCAGATTTATAAGGTGGCATCTGGAGGAGACCCTGGAAGGGGCCAGACGGCAGGTGGGGGGGGGCGCGCTTCCGGGGTCTGGCTGAGGGAAGGCCGCAAGTCATGTGACTCAGCCACTAAGAAGGGAGCGATGGTAGCAGGAAGTGCACTTCCTGTTCGTCTGTGTGAACTCCACTTGCCCCCCCCCCCTACTGCATTAAGGCCCAGTTCTCACTGGGGGGCGCACTGCGCTGACCGAGTCACCCAGCTGCCTGGCAGAGCAGGACCCCACCCCTCAGTCACGCCGCCCCAGACAGACGCTGATTTGACTCACGCTACCCCCAGTCTGGCGGAGCCCAGCCCCAGAACGGGGTTTTCCAAACAAGGAGTGAGCAAGAGGAGCGCTGGGGAACGGGGGTCGGCTAAGCCAAAAATACTCTAATCACACCCCCACCCTGCGACTTTGAGATATCAATAAGAAAAAAAAAACATTCAGAAGAGGAAACGTTTTTTCCTCTAATGAATCATCACAATAAAAACAGGCAATGATTTTTAACCCCTTTTTTTCACTCTAACATCCTTAATGCCCGAAATCCCAAATTAAGTCTCCACACACACAGAAAAGGGGGGGGGGGGCACAGGCACTGAATTAATTTTTTCCAATGCTATAAAAAACAAGGGAAGTAACAGCTTTTATGCATGTGCTGTCATTCTGTGCGAAATTTTCATAATTATAACGGAAAGGCGTAAATTTTCTAATGCATGGCATCTCCAGAAGTAATCGGGAGAATGAGCCGTGAGGCTATTTTAATGTATGCAAAGCTAGTGACCCACAATAACGGAAGGAGAGGAGCTACGCAATGAATGCAAAGTAATGCGCACGTGCAGCGAGACAGCGCTGATGAGGGACAGCTAAAATTAACACCCAATTAATTTTCGAATTGACAAACAAATGAAACCCATAAATCTACTTTCTCATTAATTTTACCACAGAATAATTTAATGCTGCAATATCCCGACAAAAAAAAAATGCATTATCAATCATTAATATCAAACAGATAGCAGCAAGGGGGAGAGAAAAAACCTTATTAAAGATTTCTTCACCGGTAATGATGGCAATATGTGCACAACCGGAGCAGAGAGACGGCATGCAGACGTCTATCAGCCACCGCAGTGCCGTGCCCCCCCCCCCCGGTCATGTGTGACAGCTGCTCCCACGGCCTTCTGCGGATTTATATGGACAACAGGGACTCATGAGAAACAGACCTGCTTGTTTATGGAGCACATCGCACTGGGACAAACAAAAACACTTCAAATACTGCAAATTCCAGGACGTTACTGTGACCCCCCAACAATGAGCCGTTCTATCAGGCTGCCTGACACGCCCCTGACGTTTATCAGCAGATGTTTGCTTGAGGGAGGGGAATGTCTGGTTGCAACATACAACAAGTGTTCGGCAAAAAATAATCAGTGGAGAAATTTAAAAAAAAAAAAAAAAAGAGAGAAAAAAAAAGGTCAGACTTTGTGTTTGTTGTTTCTAAAAGGACACTGGAGTACAGTAAAAACACGGCAGCCCCGGAACAGGCGGGCTCTTCGCGGCGAGAACGGCAACGGACGCTTATGGAACGTAGCAGCAACGTTACCATCTGTCCCCCTTCAGCGGCCATCTCTGGGAGTTGGGGAGTCAAGGTGAGGTCTGGGGCCACAGCTGGCTGAGGGCGGCTCTCCGCTCTCGCAGTGTTTAATGTTTATGAAAGCAACCTTCAGAGGAACACCTGCTGGGACTCGCCGGCTCCATTCTCACATCGCCGCGTTTACACAAACTGACAACAAAAGGACAACATTTTTCTGGGAAAGATTAGAAAAATACAGCGGAGAGCGGTCAACGGGACAGGGCTCACAGCGCCCCGTTTACGTTACCATCAGTACACAGAATAGATAGAGCCAACAGGCCATATTCAAGGTGTGATGACCCGAACGCTCGGCGCTGAGATCTCAAGGTCTGCGGGACACTGTGGACTGGCGCTATTTTGACTTCCAGGTCTGAAAAACCCAGCAGATGCAGAGAGAACGCGCTCAGCTGAGCACGGTGATGTTTTAAACTCAGATTCTGCGTATAAATATCACTGCGAGTTGTCACAGTAAGCACCACTTTATAGGACACCAACCAAAGCAGATGCAGAACCCTGTGAAGAATCACCCCTACAAGGGTAATGATTGCGCCGAAACTCTACCTGCAGGGGGGTCCCGTCTAGGGTCCAGCGTTGCATCACCTTTCGAAAAGCCTTGGAATGGCACTAGCTCATTTAGCAATCAGCGAGCTTCCCCCCTTTGTCCAGAAAGACTGGACCCCACAGAAGACATTGTGCCGAAGGAGACTTCTTAGAGAGACCAAACAATCCACTAATCTTGCAAGCCCACTCGAGCAAAAGTTGCAGATAAGCAAAGCAAATGTCAGACTACTGCAACTTCTTGCCAGGGACAAGTCGCCCGTTCTCCCCTTTATCCCCCCCCTGCACCATTTTTTCATCAAGACAGAGAACCTTTTAAGTTTCCTCCAGACCTTTCAGGGATAAATGGCCACTCAGAGCAGCAAACAAAGCAGATATTTGTTTAATAACTGATTGCTGCCATGGTTACAGTAAACAGGGGGGCCAGGGTTTGTGTTTATGAACAAACACATCTTCTTGCAAGAGCAATTTAACATTAACCAGGTGGAATGATCAACAGATTTCATAGGTGACACTCAGGGCAGAGCTAATGTAAACAGTGCTGGGCGGAGAGAAGGGTGGCAAGGGAACCAAGGTCAATTCAAAAGCGGCTCGGCAAGAATAACAGCTGGAGAAAACTCAAGACAAACAAACAGTCATTCTCCTGACATTTGATGAAGCATTAGGCTGGTGCGTTACAGCTGCCGGTGACCACCCTGAATGCAAGACAGCCTGGGGGGCAGACATGGGTTAGGGGCGTCTGAGAAACCTTTCTGAGGGGGGATTCGGCTGCGGTTCACGTGGGAACCGTCTATGGTAATACCGGACTTAGAGAAGGACATGATGAGGGACCTGTGAACTCGTACGACACGTCAAACATTACCTCTTGCTTATTCAGTAACCTGTGCTGCAGAAAGAGTAGGATCCCCCCTCCAAAAAAACAACAATGACCAGGTCAACAGCACAGGCTGATTATGTTTTTAGAAGGTAACATCTGGAGATACACAGGAGGAAAAGGCCTCATCTACGTGAGATGGGCACAAATGTGCCTTTCTGTGATTCCCTCATTTATTCCGTCAGCCAGTTCCTGGTTAGAATATCTCGAAGAGCTGCTTTCAACTGGCTCACTGTAGCAGTGCCTGTTTTTCTTAACCACTAATGCACTGTTAAGACCTGCATTTGACACTTATCTGAAGCTTTGAGATTTCTAACGTGAGAGGTGAGGGTCCCAGAAGAGGCCGGGCTGGGATCCGGAATGGGACCATGTGGCCATGTTGGAATGATCTCCAGGAGAAGAACTACTGCTTGGGGAGCAAGACAAGAGGAGAAAGGAAAAGTAAGACCAGCAAAGAAGGAGAATGAAAGCTGGGAAAGAAGAAAAAAGGTCCTTCAAGCCAACTCAGCTGTTGCATACTTTTGTTTTGGGCTGGAGTCAATAACACATTAGAGGGGAAAACATAAGAAATGGATGAGGAGAAGCGTGAAAAGAGGATAAACTCCAGTGGAGAGGTTCAGCTTAAAGTCGTCTCACACGTGAATTTTCACACATGCTCCTAGCAAACTCCTGGAAAGCCTCCAGCATCCAGTCGCCCTGACTTTCCCGTCGGAGCGCTGCTGTCCTCCCCCTCTGCTCTTCACACTCATTTCATTCATCCCCCAAAATCCATTTACTCACATTTTTTAGAGGGAAAAAGGCTGATCTAAGAGAGCAGATACGTATTTATGACATATCGAGAAGAATGTAATGAGATCCCAAAGCATGAAATTCTTCCAGTTTCAAAAGTATTTCTTCTCTAGTTACAGAAAAAGACACCTATGTTTAGCAGGACCTCTGCTCATCCACGCTGGTACGAGTATCAGTAAGAGCAGGAGCATACGGATGAAGCTTCACACGCACAAGCGAAACATATTTACAAAAAAATAACAAATTAGACCCATCAAGAAAAAAGACTGATAGCTATTTTATTAT